ATTTTCCTCCATTTTTCATTTGGTTGGGCGATCTTTGGAGGTCTTGGAAGGGAGATTTTCGTCATCTATATTAAGATAAGTGATTCCCACCTATTGCAAGTTAAATACTTGGATTATATATGGATTTAGACTTAAAAATTTGTGTAAATTTAGGATTTTGAAGAAAAACCTAGAAATTGGTATTTTTGGATTTTGACCATGAAATTAGACATGAAATTTGGAATAAATTATATATTTGAGTTCGTGGTGTTATGGGTAAAGTTTATCTTCGAAAATATTCGAAATCCGGGCACGTGGGCCCGAGGGTTGCTTTATCGATTTTTCGAGCGGAGTTAAAAATTATTATAAATTGATTAATTATGAGTATTAGAGTACATTTTGATTGGGTTGCATCTTATTTGACTAGTTTTGGATCGGCGGTCACCGGTTTGAGGTGTTAGGGCAGTGTTGGAGCTGGTTTTGGAACGTCGGAGTAAGGTAAGTCTCATATCTAACTCTGTGAGGGAAAAAAATTACCCCTAGGTATTGTATGTTGATGTGTGCTACTTGTTGTGGGAGGTACGTACGCGCAATATGACGAGAGCCCGTACGTAGCTACATTCATGTTATTGTCCGGGTAGGCTTAGGTTCACATCATATTGTAGCTGCACTATTTGAGCATTTTCTCGCCTATTAAATTCCTCTGTTTTACATTTCTACTTGAGACTAGACTTGCTATTATAGAGACTTCACGAGTTCACGATTAGTCACCGAATAACTTTACTCCTCCTACGACATGTTTTCGTGATATATATATACTTCATTGAAAGGTTTTTATTAAAGAAATTGTAACTCACATATTTATTCCTGAGTAGGGTCAAGGACCCGTCAAAGCTTCTTATTCTAATGGGATCGGGTCGTTCGCCTCGGCAGGATTATGTATTTCACTCTTATGGGATCGGGCCGATCGCCTTGGCAGGATTTATGTACCACACTCTCATAGGAGCGGGCCGTTCACCTCGGCAGTTTAATAGATGCATCTATGGTTCGGGCCGTTCGACCTTCGGCAGTGTACAGTTTAAATTTTTTATGTTGAATCGGTCCGTACTCCTCGACATTTCCTATATCATATCCTCATGGAATCGTGCGAAATCTTTGGCAAGAAGCCAGTGTATCTGTGAATTTTTCCGAGTTGAGTTATGACAATCTATCTGATGAGATCCACTATATCTATATATATGCTCCGGTTAAGGAGAAAATTTCTAATGGAGAGCTTGAGTTCTTCGTAAAGAGGGGGAGTTGTACCACCTGATTCATACTTGTTTATCTCACTTATTTACTCTGCCTCATATTTACTTACCTCTTTACTGTACTTGATATTATTGGACCACTAGTGATTGTCGATGTCGAACCTTAGTCACTACTTCTCCGGGGTTAGGCTAGATACTTACTGGGTACACGTTGATTATGTACTCATACTACTCTTGCTGCACATTTTTGTGCAGGTACATATGTGACTAGTGGCCTTGTGAGAGCAGAGGCGTGTATGCACGCGGGGACTTACGTGAGCTGCATTCCATATTACGACCCGCAGGTAACAGAGTCTCCCTCAGAGTATTTATATTTTTCCTGTCTAAGTTGTATTCCGGACAGATGTTGTACTTTAATTTTACTTCTTTGTTGATACTCATGCACTTGTGACACCAGATTTTAGGGTGATTATGGGTTGTTCTGTATTGAAATTGTTAAAAATATTATTATTTACACTATAGATTCCATCTTTTACTGTTAAATTGAAGACAAATATGATTTCTAAAATATTAAGATAAGAACTAAATTAAGTAATTATTATTGGCTTGCCTAACAGTGGTGTCTGGCGCCATCATGATCTTAATGAATTTTGGATCGTGACACCTTAAAAGAACGAAGGAAAAAGAATATAAATAGAGGGAAAAGAGAATCCAGCCGTCGGGGAAGGTAGTAAAAATGGTGTATAGAAGAATGATTTTGGGTAAGGGAATGAGATGGTAAGAAGATAACTTTATAAAGATGTCCAGCTCATTTGAAAAGGTAAGATTATGAGAGAATGTCATGGAATTTTTTTCCAACTAAAGGATTAGTCCGTTGGGACCCTTTCCTTTTGTTGTAGATTTCTTGGCTTCTACTTTATCTCCAAAAATTAGTACAATAGGGATGAAATTTTTTTTAATTTAAGGAATACAAAATTGAACAATGTGTTAATTAAAATAATAAAATAACCATGCCTTGTCAAGTGTCCTAACAAACGTAAATTGCCATAGTAATGTCAAATATATTTAAAAAAACGTACTTTTGTGTTAATAGAAAAGTGACAATTATAATAATGATATTAATTGATTGAGAAAATAATAAAAATGGTAGCACTAAGAACAATGGAAAAATCTTGAAATGTTGGTAAAAATGATATTTTGACTTTATAAATGAAATAGAAACACAATGGAGTAAAGTACATGAAAAGTGGGATAAAATTGAGTGTCAACAGCTCCATTTGAGGTTTTATATTGTTGGCGATGTCGTTCGCCCATCGGATGATTTGAGCCCGGCGAGGCTAAGTTATATGGTACTGATTTGGTGAAGGATGCCTTGGAAACAGTAAAGTTGATTCAGGAGCGACTTTGCACAGCACAGTCCAGATAGAAGAGTTACGCAAATCAGAAGGCGCATGATTTATCATTTATGGTGGGCCAGAAGGTTCTCTTGAAAGTCTCGCCGATGAAGGGAGTCATGAGGTTCGGGAAGAAGGGCAAGTTGAGCCCAAGGTTTATAGGTCCATTTGAGGTATTGAGGCGAGTTGGGGAGGTTGCTTATGAGCTTGCTTTGCCTCCCAGTCTATCAGGAGTTCATCCAGTCTTTCATGTGTCTATGCTCCGGAAGTATCATGCCGATAGGTCGCGTGTGTTAGACTACAACACGTTTCAACTAGATGAGAGCCTGCATTATGAGGAGGAGCCAGTTGCCATTGTTGACAGGTAGGTTCGCCAATTGAGGTCCATGTTTCTGCGATAAAGGTTCAGTGGAGGGGCCAAACAGTCGTGGAGGCGACTTGGGAGATCAAGAAGGACATGCGGAGCAGATACCCACACTTATTCAGCACTCCTGGTATGATTCTAGACCCGTTCGAGGATGAACGTTTGTTTAAGAGGTGGAGAATGTAATGACCCGACCAGTCGTTTTGCCTTCTAGATCCCCATTCCCTTAAATAAGACTCCCCGTAAGCGCTTTTACTGTCTAATGACTTGCGGGGATGGTTAGTTCGGGTTTGGAAGGGTTCGGGTTGAAATTAGAATACTTAGTTCCTTATTATTGGCTTAAAAGGGTTAAGTTTGCCTTGAGTCAACATTTTGAGTAAACAACCTCGGAACCTGTATTTGACAGTCCCAATAGGTTCGTATGATAATTTTGGACTTGGGCATATGTTCGGATCGGATTTTGGATAACCCGTGAGCGTTTCAGCGCTTAATATTGAGAGTTGGCGCATTGAAGGTTTTCAAGTTCTTTAATTTGGGTTGAAGTAGGATTCAGTGTTATCGAGGTCCATTTGGAATTCTGAGCCTGGAAATAGTTTCGTATGGTGATTTGAGACTTGCCCACAAAATTTGGTGTTATTCTGAGTAGTCTATGAATGATTCGGCGCGTTTGGAGCAAGTTGAAAACTTGAAGTTCATAATTTGATTCAATTTGGTTTTGGGATGTGATTCTTAGTTTTGATGTTGTTTTATGCATTTTGAGAGTTCGAGCAGATCCGTATTATGTTTATGGACTTATTGGTGCAGTTGGACGGGGTCTCGGGTGGCTCAGGTGAGTTTCGGACTACCTGGAGTTGAGTTCAAAAATCTGCTATCTGTTGTTCTGGTTTCCTTCTTCGCGAACGCGGAGAAGGCCTCGCGTTCGCGATGAAGGAATTGGACTGGGTTAGGTTTTGTGCTTCGCGTTCGCGAAGTCGAGGCCGCATTCGCGGAGGCTTGGGGCCAGTGGCCTTCGCCTTCGCGGGAGACCTATCGCGTTCGCGTAGAGTCGAGGGCCTGGGCCTGGGCAACCTAGTTGCCTTATACGTTCGCGAGTGAGAGCACGCATTCGCGATGAGGAGGCGACCCAGTACATCCCATTCGCGAGTGTCCTCTCGGGATCGCGAAGAGGAATATTTCTAGGTTCTTCAGTTTTGCCTTCGCGATTGCGAGGGCTTGTCCGCGATCGCGATGAAGGCACTGACCTGGGCAGAAAGTTTTAAAGTGGGACTTAGGCCATTTTTCTCTCATTTTTCATTCCTTCGCCGATTTTGGTGCTTCTTGGAGAGAGATTTCCACCTAGATATTGAAAGTAAGTAACTCCTACCCAATGTGAGTTTAATACATAGATTATGGGTAGATATTAACATGTAAAATTATGAAAATCATGGGTTAGTTGAAAAACCTAGGTTTTGATAAAAATGGGATTTAACCACGAAAATGATTAAGGAATTGGGTAAAAATTATATATTTGAGTTTGTGAGGTTATGGGTAACATTTATCTTCAAACATTTCCGAAATCCGAGCATATGGGCCTGGGGGTAAATTTTAGAAAACTTCTAATTTGGATTGGGTAATTACTCTAGTAGTTAAATTATGAACTTTTGAGTGTATATTGATTAATATATATAATACTTGACTAGTTTCGGGTTGTTTAGCATCAAGTTGAGGATATAGAGTAGATTTGTGGGCCGAAAGTGAGCTTGAGAACGAGGTAAGTCTCTTGCCTAACATTGTAAGAGGGAACCCATCCCCTTAGGTGTATCTTGTTGTGTTCTACTTGTGTGGGAAGCTACGTACGCACTAGGTGACGAGAGTCTGTGCGTAGCTATATTCCATGAAATATCCGGGTAGTCTTAAATCTACATCATGCTTTAATTGTATTATTATGCATATTAATTGTCTTAAATAGAGCCGAGACTAGGGATTTTAAAGTTGCAAATTAATGAGCAAGTGATTCGGCAGAGATCTAGAGCAATGTGGATAAATGCTGGAGACCAAAATACTAAATTCTTTCATGCGCATCTAAAGACTAGGCAGGCTAAGAACAGAATTGGTTCCATCTACAATGATCAAGGATCTAGTATCACTGACCAAAACTGATAGAGCAAGAATTCATAGGATTCTTCCAATCTTTATTGGGAACTTGTGCTGCTGAATTGCCATGTATTGATATCGATACAGCCAGAAATGGACCTTGTCTCACCAAAGAACAACAAAGAGAACTTAATAGCCCAATAACAGAAAAGGATATAGATCAGGCCCTCAAAGAATTTCCTAATGAAAAAGCACCAGGTATAGATGGATTCCCTGCTGAATTCTTTAAAACATACTGGGGTCTTATTGGAGGATAAGTCAAACAAGCTATACAGGAATTCTTTGCAAATGGGAAAATGTTGAGAAGTATTAATTGTACAACAATTACACTGGTTCCTAAAGTTAACAGTCCTACATCTGTTAAGGAGTTTAGACCCATAGCATGATGTTCTACAGTTTACAAACTCATTGAAAAGATCATAACGGCAAAATTAAAGACTGTGGTTGACTACGTTGTTGGGCCTTCTCAATCAGCATTTATAAAAGTGAGGAACATATTGGACAATGTTATTATTGCACATGAGTTGGTTAAAAGCTACACTAAGAAAGGGGTCTCCCCAAGGTGTTTGGTCAAAGTTGACATACGGAAAGCATATGACTCAGTCGAGTGGTCGTTCCTAAAAATGATACTGATAGAATTTGGTATGCCTGTGAAGTTTGTACAGCTTGTGATGGAGTGTGTGACAACTGTCAGTTATTCTCTGCTGATAAATGGAGGATTGGCTATTAAATTTCAAGCAAAGAAGGGGCTTAGGCAGTGAGATCCAATGTCTCCCTACCTATTTGTATTGGTGATGGAATACCTGAATCGATCATTGAAGACACTAGAGTGCATTCCAGACTTCAATTACCATCTGAGGTGTTCCAGAAAGAATATAGCCCATATATGTTTTGCTGATGACCTGATCATATGTTGCAGAGCAGATAAGCTATCCATAAGCTTACTTATGAGCAGGTTTCAACATTTTTCAGAGGTGTTAGGGCTTAAAGCAAATATGAAAAAAAAAGTGCATTATATATTATAGGGGTATCAAGGGAGTTCAAAGAATTGATCCTCACAGAAATGCAATTAACAGCAGGAGAATTGCCATTCAAGTACCTTGGAGTTCCTTTGTCCTCTAAAAAGCTATATATCCAACAATGCATGCCATTGATTGAAAGGATTACTGCACGACTCAATTGCTGGACTGCTAAATTCCTATCTTATAGTGGTCGGTTACAATTGATCCAGAGTGTGATATTTGAAATGCAGACCTACTAGGCGTAGGTATTCTTATTGCCAAAAAAGATAACTAAGCTAATTGTGACTGGTTGTAGAACTTTCCTTTGGACTGGGAGTAATGAACCTTTGAGGAGAGCACTTATTGCTTGGGATAAAATCTGTATGCCACTCTCAGCTAGAGGTTTGAATGTCCTTGATGTGTCTAACTAGAACAAAGCTACTTTATGTAAGCTTCTATGGGCAATCAATGCAAAAAAGAACACCATGTGGATCTAATGGATACACAGTTTCTATATCAAAGGGAAGGACATAATGACTATGCACACTCATAAGCAGGCATGCTGGCTAGTTAGGAAGATCTTTGACACTAGGGAATGGCTAATACAAAAGGATTCCTTTGTTGATCTGAATAAATACTGTATAAATGAGAAGTTTAGCATTAAAAAGATGTATGTTGCAACAATTCCCCTGCACCCTAAGTGTCATGGAAAATGATTGCAATTGATTCAAAAGCATTACCAAGGCATCAATTCATTCTGTAGTTGGCCATGCATAGAAAGCTAGCTACACTGGTTTGCCTAAAGAAGTGGGGACTATCAATAGCAAGTGACTGTGTGCTTTGTGAGAAGGACACCAAGGAGGCAATGGAGCACCTCTTTTTTTAATATGATTATTCTAGAAATATGTGGGAAGCATTGTCAAAATGGCTAGGTGAAAAACATCAAATTCGTAGCTAGAATGCTGAGATTAAATGGTTAACGAAGAGAAGTTCATGCAGAGTTCGAGCTCACATGCTAGGATTCCTGTTTGCAGTTGTGATTTACCATGTCTGGGCAGAGAGGAACCAATAAAGATTTCAAGGAAAGAAGATATCAAGCCTTCAGAGGATGAAGAATATTATACTGGAGCTACACATACGGGGGCAAAATGAATCCAAATGGCACAAGGAGTTAGAAAGATTGAGCAACTACCCTACTTAGAAGTGCATCGTTAAATGTAGAGATAGTAAGTAGAGGAGATGTAGTAGATAAAAAGTGGTTGTTAATTCTGTTATTGGTCTAGCGTAAGAGTACAATTGAGCTAGTGGGTTGTAAATATTATACTTGGTTAAATGAAAATTTTGACTGTTTAACCAAACAAAAGTTGCAAATTTCCAATTTAGATTTCTTATTTTTGGGAAAAATTAAGAATATATAATAACTCTGAGAAATCCATGTCCTCTCGCGTCGCAAGTACTTCCACGAGCGAGGTAAACTTCTCTACTCTCATGGGAGTGGGTCGTTTGCCTCGGCATTATAATAGATGCATCTATGGTTCATGTCGTTCGACCCTCGATAATGCCCACAGTATATTAGATCGGGTCGTACGACCTCGGCATAAATCGTGCGTGATAATACTCGGAGCCCGATTACACTTGATATTATGTTATGGCCTGAGAGTTATAATTTATTTGATGACCGAAATTGATTCGGAACTAGTATGTTTTAGATGGAGATTTTGGAATTCACTGTCAATTAAAGGATCATTTATTCACTACTTTCCATTGTGTTAATTTTATTATTTACATATTCCATGCCTATTTAGAATTTATGTATTTTATTATTGACCCATAGTAAGTGTCTGTAACGACCCGACCGGTCGTTTTGAGTATTTACGCTCCTTTCAACTATTTAAAGTCTTGAATAACTTTCTACGAGGTATTATGATTTGTGTGAATTGTCGGTTTTGGTTTTAAGGTATTTCAGAGTTAGCTTGGAAGGATGAATTTTCATGTTGGAAGCTTAAGTTGAAATATTTGACCGGTTATTGACTGATGAGTAAACGACCTCGGAATTTAATTTTGATAATTCCAATAGCTCCGTATGATAATTTCGGACTTAGGAACGTGTACGGAAAATTATTTGGAGGTCCGTAGTGGAATTAGGCTTGAAATGCCGAAAATTTAATTTTGGGAAGTTTGACCGGGAGGTTGACTTTTGATATTGAGGTCGAAATCGGATTCTAGAAATTTGAATAGCTTCGTTATGTCATTTATGACTTATGTGCAAAATTTGAAGTCATTCCGGATTGATTTGATATGTTTCGGCACAAGATATAGAATTTGAAAGTTCAAAATTTATAGATTTTGATTTGAGGTGCGATTCGCGGTTTTGATATTGTTTGATATGATTTGAGGCTTCGAGTAGGTCCGTGTTATGTTATAAAATTGTTTGTATGTTCGGACGGAGTTCCGAGGGCCTCGGGTGAGTTTCGAAAGCTTAACAGATCGAATTTGGATTTGGAGGAGGAGCTAAAGCAGCTGGGCTGCTGGTGTGATCGCACCTGCGCGAAAAAGGGCTGCAGGTGCGAGCTCGCGGATGTGAGGAATGATTCGCAGAAGCGAAAATGCATGGGCTGTCTATGCACCGCAAGTGCGAAAATAGTCATCGCGGGTACGAAGATCGCGGGTGCGAAAACAGTCATCGTGGGTGCGAAGACCGCGGGTGCGAAGACCGCAGGCGCGAAGAAATCATCGCGGGTGCGAAGACCGCAGGCACGAAGAAATCACCGCGGGTGCAAAAACTGCAGGTGCGAAGAAATCACCGCGGGTGCGAAGAAATTATCGCGGATACGAAAATCCTGGACAGAATGTTAAAAACAGAGGGGTTCCGAGTTTTTGCCATTTTTGGGCCTTCAAGCACGGTTTTTGGGGCGATTTTGAGAGAGAATTCAAGGGAAACTTGAGATAAGTCACTTATGATCATTTCTACTCCATAATATTGAGTTATCATCGAATAATCTAACTAGATTATATGTTTTTGAGGTATAAATCGGGGGTTTGAACTTAGGGATTTTAAAATAAGATTTGAAGATTTGGAGGTCGAGTTGAGGTCGGATTTCGAGACGTGGGCCTCATAGGTGATTTTTGGGGCGTAATTTCAGATTGTTTTGGAAAATATTAGTATTTTGATATGAAATTAATTCCTATAAATTTTATGGGCTGAATTAAATTAATTGTGACTAGATTCGAGCCGTTTGGAAGTTGATACGCGCAGAATGGAATTTTTGGAGCATTGCTTAGCTTGCTCGACATTGGATTCGGCTTGTTCGAGGTAATTAACTCTTCTAATCTTGGAGTTGAGGGTATGAACCCTGAATATATGTATTTCGTGAATTGTT